ATGTGTTCATGACCAAAATATCAGTTTTGCTGACCAATCCAGATCTAGAGCCAGGACATCTTTGGTCTTTTCCCCACGTGTCCCTGTCGCAGTCAATAACGAACGTCAACCTACAAATTTTTCTTTTCCATCCGCCCCTTCTACTGCTACCCCTGTTACTAAATTCTGTTTTTACTGTAAAGGCACCAGACATTTTAAGAAACATTGTCGGAAGTGGCTGCGTGATCACCTGACAAGCCAGGCGATGACCCGGACTACGGAAAATTCAGCATGACTAGTGAATTCTACTCGGGAAGACCGTGGCGCTTTATAACTTTCAGACGCCCCGAATCCAAGTATAAATGACCAACTGTCTACTACCTGCCGTTTTGGATTCCGGGTCGGTGAGATCTTTAATTTGCTCCCAATACTTTAATAGGATAAAGGAGAGGTATCCAGCCTTGAAGATGTACAAGACCTGCCACAAGTGTATCACAGCCTCCAGGAAACCGATGGAAGTCCTGGGGGAAGCATGTTTGTCTGTGAAAATTCATGGTTTTTCGTCGAAGTTCCCCTTTTTGGTTATAAAAGGTTTAGCGGTTCCTCTTATATTGGGGGCCGATTATTTTACCAAGACTGGTAGATCAACTATTGATCAGATATTCACGGTCAAACATATTCTTGAGAAGTGCTGGGAGTATAACGTTAATATATACCAGCTCTACATAGATTTCAAGCAGGTATATGACAGCATCAAGAAGAATAAACTATATTCTAATATGTATGAATTTGGTATAACCCCCAAATTGATACGGCTTGTTAGAGCAACTATGACTCTCACTGATGCACAAGTGAAGATACAAGCAGATCTCACAAGTCCTTTCAAGATTGAACAAGGCCTGAAACAAGGTGATGGGCTAGCCCCAATACTGTTTAATTTAGCCTTAGAATACATAATTAGGAAGCTGCCTGTAGATGTTGATGGAACTCTTGAATTTAAGATGTGCCAAATAGTCGGATCCGCAGATGATATATGTTTGCTTTTACAGGTCATTAAAATTTGTGAAGGACCTTTTTGAAGTCATGAGAATTAGTGCTGATAAAATTGGATTAACTATCAACGAAAATAAAACTAAAGCTATGCTCCAAACACGTAAGCAGAACAGAGTAGACCAACAATTGGTAATCCAAAATCATAATATTGAGGTGGTGGATAGTTTTGTATACTTGGGCACATGCATTACCAGTAATAATGATGAAAATAGAGAGATCCAAAGAAGGCTAATGTGACCAATAAGGCCTACTTTTCATTAGTGGCAGTGATGAAAAGCGGAGATATACACAGAAAAACGAAGATACTGCTGTATAAAACCTTAATTCGCAGTGTCCTTACATCTGGCTGTGAAAACTGGGTGCTGTCCCAGAAATTGGAAAATGCCCTAAGAGTGTTTGAAAGGAAAATACTAAGAAGGATTTGTGGCCCAGTTAAAGACAATGACCAGTGGAGGGTAAGATATAACCAGGAGTTATACGCGCTATATAAAGACCCTGATCTTGTAAGGTGCATTAAATTAAAAAGACTACAATGGGTGGGGCATATTGAAAGGATGCATGGCACAAGAACCCCCAAGAAAGTCCTAAATGCTAAGTATGAAGGGACAAGAACGGTGGGAAGACCTAGAGAAAGATAGGAAGATGCTGTGAGACGGGATGCTGCCGGTCTGATCCAATGTTGAAATTGGAAAATGGCTGCAAATAATAGATCTTCTTGGAGGTAGAAAATTGAGGAGGCCAAGGCCCGATATGGGCTGTAGAGCCATTGGATGGATGGATGGATGGATGGATGGACAGATCTGCAAATACCAGACTTACCAGGAGGCATGGGAGGATACCATGCCAGAGAGATCACAGAGAACACTCACAATTTATTTGAGGAAGTACCTTCTCTGGGAATCGCCGGTGACATGGTGATGTCCCTTTGTCAAGAGGCGAATGAGCCAGTTCCAAATTTTAGAGCTCAATTACCAGTAGGGTCACAATTGACAAAAATCCTAGTTGGTACTTTTCGACCAATTGGAATAAGATGTCCTGAAATTAAACAGAGACTTGCAGGACAAGGAATAACTGCTACGGCATTTCAATATAAAATATATTAAATCCCTATCTGATATAATAAGACAATTTGAGACTTTCAGAAATGGAAAAGTGTTTCGCACAACAAACAGCATCAGAAGGCGAGACGCAGGTTGTTATTATGCGATCAACAGAAGGAGAAGATCTACACAAGAGATGGACCAAACAGCCAGTTCAAGCAACAAGCGCTGCCGAGAGTTCCACCGCAGTCATGGGTGCTGCATTCATGTTCGGGTTTCAAACATATACAGAACCAGGAGACGGAACAACTGCAACTCAACGACATGCGAAGTGAGGCTGTCTACAAGACACAAGTGAGAACAGTTGGGTCATTCCTCAAATGTGGATAGACAACCGAAATGTTCGGCGCAAATTACCACCCGGAATCGGCACAGAAAGATTCCGAACACTGAGAAAACGACAAGATTTAGCAGATGAAGATATCATTCGAAGAATGGTGAGGACACCGCGCTGAGTCACACTTAGTGAAGGGGGGAAACACAAAACACAAACTAGTGGAAAGCACAAAATGTGCAGCTCTTATCATAACCTACTGGTAAGTTAATTTTTAAGGAAGATTGTCACTGGACATGTATTCTGCACGTCATTAGACAATATCAGAAGATTTATAGAATGTCCATGTAGGACAGATTGTAAATAACCAGGGTTGGGAAAAAAACAAAAGTCTAAATTATGATATAAAAGTATTCAAGCCTGCATTGAAAGATTACCTCTTCACTCACTCTTTCTATTCTGTAGATGATTTCATCTTTGCTGAAATTTTTTTAGCTTTATGTATATCTATAATCTACATGTAAAGTAAGTTTTGTATTTCTATTTAAAATTCTGAGGTTTATGTTTATTAATTTGTAAAATTATTTTTCATACTTGTATTACAGAAACTGAAGTTTATGTACATTGTATGAAATGACAAGTTCTACATCCTTTGGTTTAGTCCTAAGGATCTATGGAATGTAAATAAACTCTATTCTTGATTTTTTGTTGAAGTATGGACCTCCTCAATCTTTCAGACCAGGCAATTGTATGAGTTATGAGTTTAGACTGATAAATAACAAGCCCATTGTGCCATGGATAGCCGTAACCAAGAGGTTTCAGCAAAGGAACTATTTGTTTCTACTAAACGTGCCCTGTTGACCACGCGCAGTTGTTTCCCCCACCCCTTTACCTTTACCTTGCGCTCCTTCAGATGGTGTGTCCTGACTGGGAGTTCACTTTGGTACAGGGTTTCACTGGTAACTCATAACAAATTCCTTTTTGGCTTTCATATCTAAATTTTTATTTCATTCGTTGGTGTTCTGCCCTGTGCGGGTGGTCTGCCTGTTGGGACAAAAGCTGTGAAAATGGCAGCAGACCGTGGTTTCGATCCACGGACCTCAATGGTATGTACCCAGCACGCTTCCACTTTGTCCAAACACAAAGTTATCAGGGCGGAACAACTTTCCATATGGATCAGCACGAGCTGCATCCATTGTGCCTCGCTCTAGATCCAGTAAAATGGTACGTGGACCATTCTTGCCACCTGTTGAAGAAGTTGCAACAGATGCCTCATTTTAGTAAACACTAATTCTTTCCAGGTGAAGATCTGAGGTGCCACTGTAAGTGCCAGTATCATCAATGCCATGTTCATCAGATATAACTTCCCAGAACTTAGCCCCAATCTGGTTACTACACTGGCCGGCTTGCAGATGCACGATCTCCCTCATACTTCTTTAACTTTGCTGACGATGACTCAAAAGGAAAGAAGACAGTCTACAGACCACACCGCGTGTGAAGATACCAATAGAATTTGACACGCCTAGCTAGAGCTCCAGCAAGCACGTCTGAGCGTAGTTTTCAAAAAGCTGGTCTCAGTCTTAACCCCTCTAAAGTGGCGTTTGCTGTGCAAGAAATCTCCTTTTTAGGACACAGGGTATCCAACCCAACCCACACATTTCCCAGACAATAACCTTGCTCATGTGTCGCCCTCAGTGGACTAATGGTTAGCGTGCTCGCCACTGGACCCAAGGTTCGCGGGTTCAATCCCGGCTGAGGTAGATGGACTTTTAACTCCTCACCGTCGAGGGGCGTAAAATTACGTCTGGCATTTAAATTCTCGGGATTGCGGCCGGGCGTAATATTACGTCCGGCTTTAAGCCTAATTTCTTCAGCTCATAACTTTGTAACGATTAATGCCAGCGCAATGAGGTTTGTAGTACTCTGTTGTGGAAAGTTTTCTGTGTGTGAAGATCCGGCAACCTTGTTGAC